GAGAAAAATTATTACCTCGGAAGCGAGAAGAGCTGGGAAGCTGAAAACTTCAGGAAAAGTTTTCTGTTTATGCAGGAGCCTAACAATCTCAAACTTAGCTCCCATTTATGATGAAGTCTTACGTATGACCATGCAAAAGTTTTGGAGCGAAAGTTACTTCGAAGCCACGGAACTTTGGAGCAATGCTCACCGTCCAAGGTTTCAAATTCAACTTCCACATGCGTTTGCGTTTTACGTGCTAGTGCGTGAAATTTTTAATGGGAAATTTCGCAGCATAGGAGCCAAACAGCATATCGACTATTTTTTCACAGATCACAGCAAAAATCCTCAGGGGGCAAACGTGCGCTGGTGGAAACTATGTAAGACGCATGGCCCCACCGACTACCCAGGTGCGCGCCGCTATTTTTAACAACTAATTTCAGTAGGGGTTCACGTTTTCGGTCTCAATTTAAAATTTGGCTAGCTTCCAAGGAGGCTAAATCTGGTAGAGGGGAGGGGAAGAGGCTGGGACGGGGGAGGGGGAGGAGGGGCGCCAAACATAGCTTACGATTCGGCTTTGTAGTTGAATATCATTTTGACAGATGGGAATCCGATTTGAAAACTACCTTTTCATTTCACAAATTTATCTTATACAGCTGTGCCTGCTATATGGAGCTCCCCAGCAACATCACCAACATCGGCTTCTTGCATCTTCTGTTCGCAAAATCGTGGCTCTGAGTTTGCTTACTTGTCAAATACCTTCTCGAAATTTTTATTTATGGCATCATAGCTTCAAAACTTCCTTGCAGTTATTGCAAAACAAAACTTTTGTATAAAGGGTCAGAAATAAGAACAAAATCATTGGCGACGCGCACCGGGCGGGCCCGTGCGATCACGCGTTTTAGCTGTATTTCGTACTGTAATGAATTCACTCGAATACCTGGTGGCTAGGATTTGTGACATACTGTCCTCGAAGTTTGAGAAATTGTCTACGCGGTACTTGGACAGGGAGCATTCCATTAATATTTCAGCTTTCCAACTTCTCTGGTTCTTGAGTTAACAAATTCTCTGCCAAAAGATTTCATGGGGCAGGAAACCCCCCTCTTAAAATTTAGCGTTCTAGCTTCCGTGGTTCCCGAGCTAGCAACTTACCTGCAGAAAGCTAGCAACTTCCCTGGTCAGTATGTGGGAGCCACACGCAACTGGAGGCTAGGTTTGAACCCGCTTGTTCCTCTTAAACGGGGAACATACCCTTAAAATTCCAGTCTTCTAGCTTTTCAGGTTCCCGAGTTAGCAAGTTATTCGAAAGAACTTTGGCGGGCCCGTGCGTGGGTACCACGCGGGAAAGAGTGCCCATTTTGGAGATGAGGGCCCGTACACGTATGTAGATTAAGTTCTCAAAGTTTCAGCCCTGTAGTTTTTTACAGGTTTCGAGACGAAAAATCAGTAAAGGCGCACAGTGCACATACAAACACATAGGCAACCCCTCGTCAATATGCGTTTTCTGCATTGCATATGTGCAAAAAACGCATAAAAACGTGTAACTGTTCGTTTCGTTCATCTTTTTTCTCTCATCATTACCAAAACGACTTGCCAGCTTCACTTCCAGTCAGTCAGGCATTTCTCTTACTATGTTTTTAGACTGTTATTTATTAGTTACCTCCTAACACACCACATTCCTCTCTCCTTTGATCTTTGTGTTTTTGCTAGCTCATATTCTGTGATTTAACAAAAATAACTCTAAAATATACAGAGGGATATTAATGTTGGCCTCAGATACTCAACGAAGTTCTGGGATTTCGTTTTGTTTCATGACTATGATTTAGCGCAAAATCCAAGATGAAGGCCATGGAATAGGGGAAATGGGAATTCGAGAAGCGGAGTTTTGGTAGTTGCTCTCATTTTTGAGGTTCTTCTGCAAAACTGCAATTGAATTGGTTAAAAAGGAATAAAAGAGAACAGGAAAAAGATCAGGAGCAAGATGGTGAAGAGAATAAATACCGATGAGCTTGTTTTAGCTTTGTGCTGTTGCAGATCAGCAAATTCTCAAGGTGCATCTGGCTCGGATGGTGTTCTTTTATATTCGTGATCATTTTTAGACATATTTTGTGACGTGTGATAGTATTTCGTATGTTTATTTGTTTGCTTCTCAGGTGTGTCTGTTCATGTGAGCGTTGTCCAAGTAGGTGGTTAGGATTAGCAGCAAACAGCATGATGTTGCACAGGCAACTGATGGCGGCGATGAACCAGTGAGTTCTACACTGCCCCAACCACCAGCACTCTTTCTGCTGCAATATTTATACACTCCGCTGGTACATTAGCACTGCTAGCTTCTTCACATGCATTAGTTTCACTCGACAGTCACATACACACACACATACGCACACATACACACGCCACACACACACTCACACACCCACACACACACACACGCACACACATATATATGTTCGTTTGATACCTTAGCACTGCCAGCTTCTGCAGTTTTCTATAAAATGTTCATTAGTGAGTGGTACCGACGTGAAAATAAGCGGCCATTCGGGCGATCCCCCGAAAAGGTGGCGCACATGTATAGGACAGGGTACTAATTGAACGTATGCAGTGCGGGATTAGAAGGCCCGGCATAGCTGCGCCGGGTGTTTTGGAGCATTCTAGTAACATCATTAACAGGGAATACCCACGCTCGAGCACTCTTGGCATTCCTAGCACTAGTTTTGCATTTTATTAATTTTGCTCGTTTTTATTATGCCCTCACATCGGCGCACAGTTATTCACTTTTGCTACATTAGCATTGCCAGCTTCTTCACAAACATCAGTTTCTCGGCGTTCTTCGCATTCGTTTTACCCTTTTCTGTACAACTGTTGTTTGCTGTATATGCATTTTATTGAGTTTCTGGTGCAGCCCACATCTGTTCTGTTGGCTTGGCGTATTGCCCAATGGCTTGTTCATGGTACGATTGCATATGTGTCCAAGCACAATCGAGACCGCATTGAAAGTAGAATGTCGCAGCGAGTTTCAGACTCGCGCCTTATCCTGTAAGCGAAATAGCCACTTCGCTACAAATATCTTTGAAATGCCCTAAGTCGTGGCACAAGTGCAAATCGGAACTCGATTTAAGTATATAGCGTATGTGTGTATGTGTTCAAATTTAACACCTATTCTTTTCCAGTTTTCTGAATAATGATACTGAGGTGGGCATTGGCCGTGTTGCTCTTCTCCGGTATCA